GAAAAGACCCGTGTTGGTACTGTGAGGACAGTACGTCGTCGATCTAACGGCCGGGACAGCCCGTTAAGTGGGACCCGGGGCGTTACACCGGATGTTTTGATCTGGGAACCAGAAAAAAATGGTGTCTATACAGTTCGGAGTGGCTATAGATTGTTTGTGAAGATTAATGGTGATAGGCAACTTGGTGAGGTCTCTTATGCTGATGATCAACAAAAAATGTGGAAGAAGGTTTGGAAAAAGCAAATCCCCCATAAGACACGTGTGTTTGCGTGGAGAGTTTGGCACAATAGGCTGCCAACACTCAGAAATTTACTGGCTAGGAAAGTGATAGAAGATGCCGTCTGCAAATTCTACAATAGAGAGGAAGAATATATAAATCATGCATTATTATATTGCCCTAGGATTGAACCGGTGTTGGCAGTAAAGCTGAGTTTCTTAAGAAATAATTCTGAGCAGTGGGACATTGTACCTATAGTAAATCTAGTAATAAGCAGGAACATCTCCAGTGAACTGGAGGAACTAATCTTATGCTCGTGGGAAATGTGGTACAGGAGGAACAAATTCATCTTTGAACAAAAGATTTTTAATCCACGGATGGCTATTGACTATGCTCTTACAATTGCTAGTGAATATAAATGTGCAAATGAGCAAAGACAGCAAGGGACCCATCGTAGAGAAGGGTGGAATGCTCCTCCGGAAAGGGTCCTAAAACTTAATGTTGATGGAGCTTTATTTGACGATCAATGCAGATATGGGACTGGGATGGTTCTATGGGATGCAACAGGAAAGATGATCTTCTCCGCCAATAAACCAGAGAGGGGAAGCATGGATCCAATGGAGGCAAAACTTCTAGCAATATTGAGAGGTTTACAGGTTTGCTTACCTTTGTCCATTCAGAATCTACAAGTAGAAAGTGATTCAATGTTGGTGGTTCAAGAAGTGACAAAAATACAAGATGAATCTTTATCCATATGGGGAAACTTGATGCATGAGATTCGACTGTTACTGAATAGATTCTCGAATATTGATGTAAGGCATGAAAGTCGCCTATCTAATTCAGCTGCACATTGTCTAGCTAGGAATTCATGGCATCTAAATGACTTGGTAGTGTGGTGGAATGATCCTCCGGACTGTGTCTCGCACATTATTAAGCATGATGCATTGATGTAATTCTTTTTAAGTTTTGAATGAAATTTGCTTTGTTAAAAAAAAAAAAAAAAAAACTTCTAATATTTTCAAAATCAGCAAACCATAGGGCGTTCGGAGACCTAGTAAAAGATGTTAGTTCACGATTTGGTATTGCAATATGAAGGAGAATAACTCCAAAGACGTTTTCCATTTTCATTT